TCACTTTTATTTATAGCAAACGTGATTTTCTATAGATTTCGAATTTTCTTTCGTGAGATGGGAAGTATAATTTATCTTTTAATATCTTCAATTCCACAAATCATTATTTTTATTTAAAATCTCATTAATGTAAACAATTTCAAATTTCAAATTTTAAGTTAAAAAATATAATAACTCATAACACATTAATGTTAGGACTTCAATAAAAAACTAAAAACCAATAAGATTTAAGTCAAAGAATATCAATAGCTAATGATCACAACAATAATTGATTTATTGGAAGTTGATGTCTTTGCCTCTTTTCCTCTAGATTATGTCACTCACATTCGTCACAATTTTTTGTTCTATCAAATTATTTATTTTTTAACACGCCAACCTAAAAAAACTGCAAAAAGAAAGCATATTAAGTTGATTCGATATCCATAAACTAAGACTAATACATTACAAAGCAGTATTCCAAGTAGGGGTGGAAAAAATTCCCGAAAATCCCGAACCGAACCGAAAAAATCCCGATCCCAAACCAAAAATTTCCCAAACCGAAATTCTCGAAATTTTCGGGATGCTATCCCGAACCAATTCCAAAATTTCGGTATGGGATTCGGGATTGGCTTCTCGATATTTCGGGAATCCCATACCAAACCGAAAATATATAATATTAATTATTAATATTTATACATAATATATATATTATTCTTTATAATTGATGCTAGTAGTTTCTAATTCATGCTCAGCAACCTAGAATGCCCTACACCTTGCATATTTTTCATGTTCTATTTGATATTCATGTGGATTTTATTATTGCTGCTGCCATGGCTGATGATTTCAGAAGGCTTGATTCTTTTGTCTCTCAACAAATTGCAAAAAGAGTTTAATTAATTTGAATTTTGACTATGATAAAAAGAGTCAAGCATGCCAATGTTCAATTAAATAGTAGTGTGAATGAAATGAAATTCCTAGTTCATAAATGTGTTCTTGAATTATATATTTGAAGAACAATTCATAATTTCATATTTCAATTTGGGATTCCCGATTTGTCCCAAAATCCCGAAAATATTTCGGTATTCCCGAAATTTGGGATTCCCGAAAATTTGGTTTGGGATTGGTCTTCAAATTCCAATCCCGAAAAATTTTGGTTTGGGATTCGGGATACTAGTTTCGGTATGGTATCCCATACCGAACCACCCCTAATTCCAAGTTCTCTAGTCAAGCTAGGCTATATATATATTAGTAGGGCCTCCACAAAGTTTCAACCATATAATTTTCTTAAAACCAAATCTAACGATCAAGAGGATGTCACTATTTTTTTGAAAAATGAGAATCCCTCTTGCTAAAGGGCATGTATATGTACACACACACACACATACTCACTTTTTTTTTTTTATATAGAACAACGTGATTTTCTATAGATTTTGAATTTTCTTTCACGAGATGGGAAGTATAATTTATCTTTTAATATCTTCAATCCCACAAATCATTATTTTTATTTAAATTCTCATTAATGTAAGCAATTATAAATTTCAAATTTTAAGTTAAAAAATATAATAACTCATAATACATTAATGTTAAGACTTCAATAAAAAATTGAAAACCAATAAGATTTAAGTCAAAGAACATCAATAGCTAATGATCACAACAATAATTGGTTTATTGGAAGTTGATGTCTTTGCCTCTTTTCCTCTAGATTATTTCACTCACATTCGTCACAATTTTTTGTTCTATCAAATTGTTTATTTTTTAACACACCAACCTAAAGGACTGCAAAAAGAAAGCATATTAAGTTGATTCAATATCCATAAACTAAGACTAATACATTACAAAGCAGTATTCCAAGTTCTCTAGTCAAGCTAGGCTATATATATTAGTAGGGCCTTCACAAAGTTTCAACCACATAATTTCATTAAAGTCAAATCTAACGGTCAAGAGGATGTCCTTATTTTTTTGAAAAATGAGGATCCCTCTTGTTAAAGGGCCTATATATGTACACACACACACACACACACATACTCACTTTTTTTATATAGAAAAACGTGGCTTTCTATAGATTTTGAATTTTCTTTTGCTAGATGGGAAGTATAATTTATCTTTTAATATCTTCAATCCCACAAATCATTATTTTTATTTAAAATCTCACTAATGTAAGCAATTATAACTTTCAAATTTTAAGTTGAAAAAATATAATAACTCATAATACATTAATGTTAGGACTTCAACAAAAAATCGAAAATCAATCAGATTTAAGTCAAAGAACATCAATAGCTAATGATCACAACAATAATTGATTTACTGGAAGTTGATGTCTTTGCCTCTTTTCCTCTAGATTATGTCACTCACATTCGTCACAATTTTTTGTTCTGTCAAATTGTTTATTTTTTAACACACCAACCTAAAAAACTGCAAAAAGAAAGCATATTAAGTTGATTTGTAATGTATTAGTCTTAGTTTATGGAATACTTTGTAATGTATTAGTCTTAGTTTATGGAATATGTAATGTATTAGTCTTAGTTTATGGAATATGTAATGTATTAGTCTTAGTTTATGGAATACTTTGTAATGTATTAGTCTTAGTTTATGGAATATGTAATGTATTAGTCTTAGTTTATGGAATATATATATATATATATATATATATATATATATATATATTAGTAGGGCCTCTTCAAAGTTTGATGCTAGAGGTGATGAGCATCTTGATGCTGTATAATTAAGGATTTGAATCCCATTTGGATTCAAATGGTGAGGATTCTAGAGATCCTCACGTTCTAACAGTTCATTGTAAATCGTGCAGTAAAAAATTATTTAAATTATTTATTTAAAATTAAATATAAATAGTATCTGACGAAAACTGACCGCACGATGTACGATGAACGACTAAGATATGAGGATCCCTAGGATCCCCACCATTTGAATCCGAATGGAAATTCTCATCCTATAATTAAGGTTTTTTTTATTTTTTTGAAAAACATCCTATAATTAAGTTTTATGTTGAAACATATAGTGATTATTCAATTCATATTACCAAAGCCTAGAGTGTCTCAGAGTTTTCGTCCTTCCAAATTATTATCATTATTATTTATTATTATAAATTGGACGTGCATGTAACAATTAATTGGGAGGCGACCTAGGGGAGTGCAATTTACTAATAAAGTGACCAACAACCGCCTAGCAAGCATGTTATTGTTTGTTTTTTGTTTTTCGTTTTTTGTTTTTTGGTTTTTTTTTCCTCTTTTATTTCAAAGATAGGTAACATAAGCATGACAGAAAATGTTAAAATGTAGCAGCAAAGCAAAAGCATACAAAATGTGACGAAAAGTGGTAACGTAAAAATGCACGATATATATATATATATATATGGATGGATAAAGTTAGAAGAGTGTTATTCACACATCTATTTTTACTTCACACACACTTGTTAATTTATCTATTAACACTCAGTAATGATATCAAATATGTGTAGCCAACGAGATCTTACGTCATCAAGATCAAGTAGAAGATGTTGGAATATGATCATGATGATGTTAACTTTACTATGTGTAGATTATAAGCAAAGGGATTTTTTTTGTTTTTTCATAAAGATTATACTCTCAGCTGTTAGATTGATTTTAATGATATTGTGCGGCTGAGATTAAAGAGGTTGTCTTCTTCATTTTTAACCCTTTTCTTTTCCGTTTCTCACTTCTCTTCCTCTAGAACGACTTTCCAATCTTTCTCATCCCCAAGTCACCACATCGTAAACCACCGCGGCCTCTGATCAGAGTCTAGCCAACCCCTCCCCAACCGCACCCAAAACCCCATATTCGCAGACAGCAACCCCAACCGCCCCAAAACTTGTAATTTCTTATTTTTCACGGCTCACGCCATACTTTGCAACTCGAATCAGGCATAACCAGAGGTTTCTATCCTCTTCAGATATGTGTTTCTTCCATCTCATCATTTTGGGAAATTTGATGAATAATTTATTTGAGATTTTTATTTTTCCATTCTGGTTTTTTTTAGAATGACTTCAATTATAATTTTTTGAGGAATAAAAAAAGGTTGAACCAAATCCTCCCATTTTCCAGAAAATTGGAAAAGTTAAAAGAATCACGAAAGAAGCTCTGGTTCACTGTGCTTGCGTGCCGTTGGCGAGGAAGACAAAGGATGAGGAATAAGACAAAAGAAACAAGTTAAAAAAATTAAAAAATAAAAAAAAATTGTTATTAGTATTCCAAAAATCTCATTTGAAATTCTACATTTTTTTATAATTAGAAAGAAAAATACACTTGTGAGGAGTGGAGAATCAGATTTTTGAAATGTCAATAACATTTTAAAAAAAAGCACCTTCCCAAAAAAAATAAATAGATAAAGCTGGATTAACTTACAACCGCACGATCTCATTGAAAGAGATCGGAACGGCTACATGCAAAGTTTTTTGTTAAAATGGAATCTCTCTCCTTAAAAGAGCATGTTACCATATGTGCATTAGATGTGTAGAGGTGAACCATAAGATTGGTGTATTGATATACATTTAACTAAAAGGTGTGACAAGAGGTATAATTTATCATAAGGGTTATACCTTTCTATAAGTGATGTGTCTTATAATGAAGACTTTTTAGTCAAAATAATCCTTGAAATTTGCATAAATCTTCGCTTTAGTCCCTGAAATTTGAAATTAGTAGAATTGGTCCATGAGTTTGTTCATCATCAATCATTTTGGTTATTCCATAAAAAATCTCAATTAAATAAAGATAAAATGACAAAAATACCCTTATTTTTTTGTCAAATCATTTTGGCTTATTGTTTATTAAATTGAGCATATTTTTGTCATTTTAATCGTTATTTAACATCATTTTTTATGGAATGACCAAAATGATTGATGGTAAACAATTTCAAGGATCACTTCTATTGATTTCAAATCTTAAGGACCAAAATGAAAATTTATCCAAATCTCAAAGACCACTGTGGCTAAAAAGCCTATTATGAAAGGATAAGAAGACTATTCAGAAAAGTCTTACAACTCTCAAGACAGGCTGGAAGGCTGGATGACGTCTATAAAAGGAGGATTCATTCCTCGGACAAATCATTCAGTGAAACAGATTCTCTCCTCTTTGGTGTGCTATTTCTCCCTTGCACTACCTCATAGTAATCAATAGTCTAACGATCCTATGAACACTGTGGCAATGCCGTCAGGATTGGGGACCAGACCGGCGGACACAACAGAATCTGCCGAGATGGTTCATTCAGAAAACGGTACTCGTCAGGTAAGTGAGAGCTACTCTTTTTGTATTTCTAAAAGTACTCTGCCTTTTCCTCCACCTCTTGACTTAAATTTCAAAACAGCAGGACCCCAAAGAGAGAGAACGGAAAGCAAAGTTGAGACAAGAGATTGCAGATAAACTGAAAGTAGTGAAGGCAGCAACAGTGGACCCATCCATCTACAAAGTTCCAAATAATCTTCGAAAAGTGCAGGAGGATGCCTACAACCCTCGTGTCGTCTCAATTGGACCTTTCCATCGAAAAAACCCTGACCTTGTGGATGCTATTCGAGAGTGTAAATGGCGTTGCATGGTAAGCCTTCTCCAGCAAACAGAAGATAAAAATAAATCTCACAAATGCTTTGAAGACTGCTTGGACGCAATTTATGATCTAGACGATAACGTTCGCCAATGCTATGCTGAAACCATCAAGCACGACAAGAATGAGCTTGCAACAATAATGTTACTTGACGGTTGCTTCATACTGGAACTTTTCATCAGGTACCACGAAGCCAAAAAAGAAAAACAAGGAGACGGAGATGAAGCCAAAAATGTAATAGAAGAAGACGGATCTGATCCGATACTGAAAAGTAAGTGGATGATTGCAGCTCTTCAGCATGATCTGGCGTTACTCGAGAATCAGATCCCCTTCTCGGTTCTAGTTACTTTGTATAACATTGTCAAGCCTGAAGCCACGATCAAACACTCCGTCGCTAGCCTCGCTCTCGACTTCTTCGAGCCCATGAATGAGAAGCATATACCTGATGAGCTGGGAACGGACTTCAAGCATTTGCTTGATCTCTTGCACAAATTCTATTTCCCCAAACCCGTCCCTTCAGAACCTACTGAAATATCAATCCCGGTCGTTAATGCAAAGCTTAATGATGAACGAAGCCGATGTTGCTTTTCTCTCAGTAGAAAAGTAATGAAAAAAAGTGATGAGTTACAAACTTCTTCAGGCCACTCTTCTCAACCTGATGATGCAGCTGGCAATGATAAGTGGGGATTCAACTACTGCGCTAAGGAACTTTTGGAGTCTGGAGTGCAGCTTCACAGTCCCTCTGAGAAGGACGAGAATTTGTTGAACATAAAGTTCAGCAACGGAGGAGGCCTCAGCATTCCGACTCTGATTATCAACAAGTCAACAAGTTCGATCTTCAGGAATCTGATTGCCTACGAGCAGTACAGTCTTAGCAGTACAAACAGCGTTACATCATACGCTTTCCTCATGAAGAGTCTCGTCCGTTACTCAGAGGATTTCAAGCTGCTTCAGGAGAGAAAGATCATAAAGCCTCATCGGATCGGGGAACAGGAATGTTTGAACCAATTCAAGACTATTCTAGATGAAGTAGTTGCTAAGGATGACTTCTGTTTTGCTGGTGTGCGAGACCAAGTGAACGAATACTGTGAGTCGTGGTGCAATTTGAACAAGCTTCAAGTATATTTGAAGGTGCGCTTTCTAAAAGAAATAAGGGACCTTCATAATACTTATTTCACTTCTACATGGAGTATCATATCGTTCCTGGCTGCCTCTGCCCTTCTCATTCTCACTTTTCTACAGACATACTATGCCATTCACGGCCCTCACAAATGATCATGCTCTTTCCTTAAGCTTCTTCTTCTTTTATATGGCCATGTTACCATTTACCAACGCAGTCCTGGCTCGCCCTGGAGTCTATCTATAATATTTTTGCTTTCATGTATGCACGTTGTATGGGATTAATCTTCCTAAATTATGAATTTTCATCATCCGGGTTTATGTTTATGTTTCTTTTATTTTTTACAACCCTTATTTTTTACAAGACGTTAATATCGCCAATAATTAACAACTCGTAAGACTTTTTATTTTACTTTCACTTCTCGGTGAAGATAAAGTCATTTATTATTGATTTCGATGCATGTGGATGTATTAATATGGATGCAATTACCAAATTATTTGACGTTGCCGTCAAATTTGACCACCATTCTCTTTGTTGTCATTCTATATCATACTACATTGGAATTGACATTTTGGTTGAGAGTACTAATGCTGTCTTTTTTTACTACTATTGTCATTATTGATGTAGACTTTTTAATATTTCATTGAAATATGCTTTAACAGGCTAATAATTAACAACTCGTAAGGCCTTTTATTTTAGGGGGATGTGGTCAAACTAAGATTTTAAAGGATTTTAAAGGATTTTAAAAGTGATAGATTTAATAGTATTTAAGAGGATTAAAGACTTACAAATTTCATATGGATTTTTAAAGAATTTGAATGGATTGTAGTGGAAGGATTTGAAATCCTAGGGGGTGAGATTGGATTCGTTTTAGTGTTAGTAATATATACTTTTGGCTCTCAAATCCCACAAAATCCACAACTTATTGAAATCCTCCAAAATCTTAATTTTTTAAATACACTTGGATTTGGATTTGGATGGATTTAAAAATCTTTTAAAATATTTTAATTGACTACACCTAAATTTTAAAGTATTCTAAAATTTTTTAATTGACTACACCTAGTTTTGAATGGATTTCAAAATCCTTTAAAATCTTTTAATTAACTACACTAGGATTTTAAAGTCTTTTAAAATTCTCTCAAATCCTAGTTTGACTACTTAGGGGGTGTAGTCAAACTAAGATTTTAAAGGATTTTAAGTGATAGATTTGATAGGATTTAAGAGGATTAAAGACTCTTACAAAATTCATATGGATTTTTAAAGAATTTGAATGGATTGTGGTGGATTGTGGTGGAAGGATTTGAAATCCTAGGGGGTAAGGTTGGATTCTTTTTAATCTTGGTTATATATACTTTTGGCTTTCAAATCCCACAAAATCCACAACTTATTGAAATCCTCCAAAATCTTAATTTTCTGAATACACTTAGATTTGGATGAATTTTAAAATTCTTTAAAATCTTTTAATTGACTACACCTAGATTTTAAAAGATTCTAAAATCCTTTAATTGACTACACCTAGATTTCAAATGATTCTAAAATCCTTTAATTAACTACACCTAAATTTGAATGGATTTCAAAATCCTTTAAAAAATTTTAATCAACTACACTAGAATTTCAAAACTTTTTAAAATCCTCTCAAATCATAATTTGACTACACTTCCCCTTACTTTCACTTCTAGGTGAAGACAAAGTCATTTAGCATTCGTTCATTCTGATGCCTATGAACGAGTAGTCTTACGACAGAGTGCAAATAGGTAGGTAGGTAAAAGAGATATTGTTCTTTAATTTTTCAAAATATTCAAAACTTACAACCTACCATTCTCCATTCACTCACATGCCATTTGAGTTGTACTCACATGCAAATAAAAAAATGAGTCAAATAAGAAATATTGTACACACATGCCATTTGATCATACAAACATGTAAAATGTATGAGTCAAATAAAAAATGAAATAAATCACGTACAAATCGTCCTAAATGTTGAGCAACTACTTGGAGAGATTGGTGTGTGTGTGTGTGTATTGGTCAATTAATATGAAAAAAAGATTCTTTCCGAATCCTTTCATTAAATCCATCAATCTGAGCGCGTGAAATTTAGTCAAACGGCTAAAGTTATTATAACTTTTAAAGAAAACCCTCATTTTTAGTTATTGTATCAAATTTTAAGAGATCAGATCGGTGAATTTGATAAAAAAGATCCAAAAAGGATCCATTTCCAATTAATATATACGTACTGCATGATATATACAGATCCTTTTCATCTAAGGATTAAAAAAATAATAATTGAAATAATATACCATTCAGTTTGGAACTTTGGACTAGATCTTAATAGTTGTGGGGCGGTGGTAGGTGGAATCAAACTAAGTAGAGGCACAAGTGGGATAGTCTGAATGGCAGATCCGGACTCACGGACATGAGCTTAACAAACTTCATCAGCCATAGTATACCACCAGTATACACTGTTCTAAAAATTAAAAGGATGCGACTAGACTCGAGCTTAGGCACCTGCTTATTCACCTAAACCTGTTTAGATATCTGTTTAGATTGCAACTTTCATTTAGACAGAAAATCAATAACTTTCTTTTTGTATTTTATTAATTTTGTCAATAAAATGTAACAAACTTGTTAAATATTTGGATGAATACTCATTATATCCTTGTTCCCCATGTTTTCAATATGTTAGAATACTTTATAATCTACATGTCATTTTACTTTGCAATTTATGTATAAGAATATAATGATGTGTTTTTTAAAGTATAAATAGACACAATATATAATAAATTTACTTAAATCCGTCTAAGCCTCCACCTAGCTACTTAGACACTTGACATCAACCGGCCATCCGACTAGCGCCTAATATCTTTTAGAATCGCATCATTATATGATGAGATGGATAAAATGGAAGAATAATTTATCTAAAAAGTGAAGATGCAGACATTTTCAGCTTCTAGCAACCTTCTCCTCTCCAGTAGAAAACTTTAGGCTCAACCAATAATAGGACTATTTATTTCTGTTCTAATTCACTCGACTCTCTTATTAGAATCTATGTGAAATTCAAACAAAGAATCATTATCCAATTTAAATCATAATAATTAACAATAAATAACCAGTTTCATACTCACATTTGAACATAAAAAGCTTATGTAGTTAATGAAGCGGATAATAATTAATTAAAAAATAATAAAATATAGATGCTTATCGTTCATTAATGAGAGGTGAATCTTATGATACAGAAGAGAAAGGTGAAGAAATATACCGAAGTATACACTTTAGGTCAACATATATGTATGTCTGCTCACAAAGCGAGAAGAGTAATTGATCAAATTCGTGGGCGGTCCTATGAAGAACTTATGCCTTATCGAGCATGTTATGCCATTTTAAAATTGGTTTATTCTGCAGCAGCAAATGCTAATCACAATAAGGGTTTGAACGAAACAAGTTTAATCATTAGTAAAGCCGAAGTCAACGAGGGCACAACTGTGAAAAAATTAAAGCCCCGGGCTATGATAACTAATATTAGTGATTATTGTCAACTTTTCATGTTGTGTGTAGTTATTTGAATTGTGGAGGGTTTCTCTTAGTCCATATGTCTGAGAAACTTTTTAGTGAGCCGGCAACACAACCCATACACTTGAAAAATCTCTCATATGTCCATTATATGCATTGGTTTAGTATTTCATTAAAAATACAATGTGATTATGTTTTCTCGGTAATCACTTGAGTTATAACTAATCATATAAACATATATGAGTCAAATAAAAAATAATCATGTACGTAATATTATACTAAGTCGTCATCCTATCCATATCAACAATGTAGTTGAAGTCTTAATCATAGAATTTGACATGAAAGACCATTGCTTCATATTGTGACAAATTCAGAAACTAATACTCAAAATTTTTAGTTTATTTGTAACATCCCGTCCCTAATCTTACAATTTTATTAATTTTAAAGGAATGAATTGACGAAAATGTCCCTAGAGGCGAGGTTGTTGATTTTCATTGACCATCATTTCATGACATGTATGAGTTACTATTTTACCGTATTCTCGAAGTACTCGATTGAACGAACGCATAGGCGCAAGCAGAATCGAAGTCAGAGCTATGGGTTAAATTTTACAAAATTACATATGTGAAGGGCATTTTAGTTTCATGTTACAGGAATATTTTTCTGTTTCTTCATTTGTGACTTTGAGCTGTGTGCCAAGTGGGGCCCACATCTCTCATCCCCTCACTCTCGTATCTCCTCTCACCTTCCTTCTGACTCTCTCTACGACACGACATGAAATTAACAGGTGTTCGGGTTGACACGATAACGAATTGGGACGTTATCGGGTAACCCGATAAGCACATATTAAGATAATAGGTTGGTTCGGGTATACACGTAGGTAACACAATACATGATAAGCAAAATATTAATTTTATAATTTTATAACCCTAAAAAAATACTATAATAATTATATATATTAATTTAACAATTTTATACCCCTAAAAACTATAATGATTATATATATATATATATATTAAATTAAATTTTAAACATTGGTGACCATTGGATCGGCTTAAATATACATGTCATTCAATTTCTTAAGTGTTATACGTACAAAATAAATAAATTTAAATCTACTTAATAAATACACACACACACACACATATATACCATTGAACTTGATGGGATACGAATTCTATGAAACTAATTTCAACAATTCAATCGTCAAACTTGTTTGTATATTCTTTGAGATCGCATCAGCAAAAACAAACATTAAGAGATCAAGTAACAGGACAAAACTTTTCGACGGTTATAAAACGAAAAATCACGATTTAATGGTTATTTTAACTTCGATTTTGATTATTTTTTATAGCTATACTCCTTGATCCTATATGAATACAATGAATGAATTTGATCTTCAATTTAAAATATTTACACTAGCCACAAAATATTATGTTATACTTAATGAAAGTACAAATAAACTCTAAGTAGTTAGTGAATCTATCGTTTTGATGGGATATGCATCCTACGAAACTAATTTCAACAATCCAACCGTCAAACTTGTTTGTATATGCTTCAAGATCACATACAGTAAAAATTGTAAAAAACAAACATTCAAATATTAAGTAATGGGACAAAACTTTTCGACGGTTATAAACAAAAAATTAGGATTTAACGGTTATTTTAACTCCGATTTTGATTTTTTTTACAGTTACACTCCTTCCCCTATGTGAATACAATGAATCAATTCGATCTTCAATTTAAAATATTTACACTAGTAGATACCACAAAATCTTATGTTGTACTTAATGAAAGTATAAATAATCTCCAAGTGTCGCAAAAAACAAACATTGAGAGATCAAGTAACGGGATAAAAAATTTCGACGGTTATCAATGAAAAATCACAATTTAACGATTATTTT